TCGCAGGTGTCCTGGGAGCCTCTGCGTTTGCTTGGACCGCGGGGTCGTGGCGGGTGGAACTTGGCGAGGCGTAGCCCCAGTGTAACGCGCTCTCTCTATCCAAAGGGCAGAACTTATTTTGGAACGCTGGCGCGTTGCGATGCCTGTTGTGAAGATGTGGTATTTATAGCTCAGGAACACCGAGATCGGTGTAATAATACTGTTAAGTTGCGAGGTCTTTACCTTTCAGCTTTCTCCTTGCCAAATCTGGAGGGCCTCAATACTGTTTTGGGTTGTTATCTATTAAAAAGCAAGCTTGGGACCCTTCGGTGGAATTAATGTTTGAAGATAGCAAGTGTGACTTTTATCTTTGTAGGTGGCAATCAACGAGAGCTTGCCCGACAGAAGAATATGAAGAAAACCCAAGAAATTAGCAAAGGAAAAAGAAAAGAGGATAGCTTGACTACTTCTCAAAGAAAGCAGAGGTGAGTGGTACTCATCGAGTTCTCAAGTCACTGACGAAAGCGAGTTATTAAACACAAAGTATTAACAGTGAAGAACACCTGCTGTGTGCCAGGCATATGAACACCATATGAAGTCTTCCAACCTGTGGATGAAGAATTTAGTGTTCTGAAGCTGTGATATATTTCACGGGAACTCTAACACAGCTGCTTTACAACTGCTAATTAGCAAAATAATAAAACGTCTTCCATATGCAAAGCACTGTTAGATGCCAAGAGTATCTTTTCAAAGCCTAAGCCTGCCCAAACCAGTCTGGATGAAGTCTGGGTAGCTAGCTATACTGGCTTTTTTTTTTTTCAATTTAATTTCTTGGTACATTCTAGGTAGACAGTACAGTTACATTCATTACTGGGATCTTGTACCTTTAAATGCCAGGTCTTGGTTCTCATTTTTTCCCCTTGTCCCCACCCTCCCTTCAAACACTTTAATTCCATTTTTACATTTTCTCATATTTTTTTCCTTTTCCCTTGTTCCCACTTCCGTATCCTTCTCACTGTCCCTACACCTTTGGTCCTTTTCTTCCTATTTGCTAAGTGTCCCATTAGGATCTTGAGTACTATTTTAGTTTTTCACACCAGAGATACTATTCGGTATTTGCATATGTGTGACTTACTTATTTCACTTAGAAGTATATCCTCAAAATGTACCCATTTAACTATGAATGAATCTACTTTCTCATTTTTTATGGCTGAGTACTATTCCATTTTGTAGAAAAACCACATCTTTATCCAGCTTCCAATTGATGGGCAGATGGGCTGTTTCCAAGTTTTAGCTATTACAAACTGTGCCGCTATAAACATGGGTGCGCATATATCACTGTGGTATGATTCTTTCACTTCTTTTGGAAGGATACCCAACAGAGGGATGACTGGGTCAAATGGAACCTCTAATCCTAGTTCTTTGAGGTATCTCCATATTGACTTCCATAGTGGTTGCACCAGTCTGCACTCCCACCAACAATGGAGAAGGGTTCCTTTCTCCCCACAACCACGCCAACATTTGTTATTCTGTGATTTCCTGATAGCAGCCATTCTTTGTGGGGTGAGGTGGAATCTCAGTGTTGTTTTCATCTGCGTCTCTAGAATGACCAGTAATGTGGAACATTTTTCCATATATTTACTTACTGCTTTTATTTCTTTGTCTGAGAAATGTCTGTTCATTTCAG